GGGGGGGGGGGGGGGGGGGGGGGGGGGGTCTTGAAAACCACAGGTTTAAAAGGCACACCAGGATTCCTCCCAATCCCAGCCCACACACACACCAACGAGGGGAACAAAAGAAGAACCGGGGGTTAAATGTTGGGGGCGGAGGGGGCCTGGGTCCGGTGCTGCCGCTGTGTTGAAACAGAGAAAATAAACAACAAACAAAGAAAGAAAACAAAAGGGGGGGTGGAATGGATCATTTCTGGTTCTTGAGCTGGTTGGAGAGCCAGTCCAGGCCCTCGTAGAGCCCGTCCCCGCTGGTGGCGCAGGTGGCCTGGATGTACCAGCTGCGCTGGCGCAGCGCGTGCAGCCCCAGCTTGTCTGTGATCTCTGCGGCGTTCATGGCGTTCGGCAGGTCCTGCAGGACGAGAGTCGGGTCAGAACTTCTAGTGGCTACTCAGAACGTTTAACGGTCCGACGAGCTGCGTCTAAACTGTCGACTGACTGAACCGGGTCGGCCCGGAGGTTTGGTTCCCTCTGGGGTCAAAGATTTTATCATTCAAATATCCAGCTGCAGCTGGTTCTGTCTAAACCCGTTTGGGTTCAGGGACCCCCTCATGTTAAACAATCGTCGTCAGTTTGTCTCTTTAACATCATGGAAATATCTGCAACATAAAAACTTTAGACCTGTTCTTTAAGTGTTGATACAATTTTATACTTTTAAACACGACACATTTTTTATTCAAGACAATTAAAATTTTAGTTTCAACTTCCAAAAATTACAGTTGAGAAAATGAACAGCATCAAAAACTATTTTAAAACTTTACCCGTTCGCTTAATGAACATAAAAGTATTGACACATGTTCAAACAATCACGGAAAACTGTTTTTACATGCTCAAGAAGGACCATCAGCCTAACAGTTCTTGATCATGTGAGCAGCTGGTTCTGGTTGTCAGCAGCAAACTGGTTGATCCACTCTGAGAAGGTGCTATTTAAGAGACTGAGCTGAATACAGCACCTCAGACTGAGGAAGTCTCTCGGATGAGAGACGAAACGTTTCTACA